TTTCTTCATTCACAATATCTCACGCTTCAGCCAAAAATACCGTAGCGATTCATTTAACTCTCGCACAAGATCCCAGCATACACATGAAAAGACTTCAGTGCACGTGGGAAGTGAAATACACAACTCCTTTTACGCATTGTTTCCGCCAAATTACCACACAGGCAGGAACCTTTTGTGGCTCGCTGAAACAGACAAGCAGATTAGCCAGCATGTGCACAGCGAGCCGCGTAGTCTTCACGCGCCAGGCACGGCAGAGGCAGAACTGGCATCTTTTCACATTATAGCAGTCTCTGGCCAATGAGGTCCCAACAGGGACGGTCACCGCAACGAAGCCTGAATGGGGGAGAAATCCAAAAGGGAATCCCGGCAAGTTGCTGACAGGGATTTTCATAGGAGTCTAAAGGAGGAATTAACCACTGAGTCAGTATTAGGGATCAGAGAAATGGATTATTAAAAAAAAAGAAAAAAAAAAGGGAAGAAAATCCCTCTATACTCATTCCCAAACATGCTTAAAAGGGGTGGGATAATCAAGAATCACAGCAAGTGGCAGTCTGATGGCTGCTGGGAAAGACAGGACAGGGCTTAATTAGTAACTAAAGCTGTTGCTCTGAGCTGGTATTTAAAGATCCCCTTACAGGAACATTGGTTAGGATTTGCTTTTTGTAGAAGCATGAAGGTTTCTGCAGCTGAAATCCGCACTGTGAGAGAAAAGCCCGGAACGTCACAATTTGATTGCACAGTGGGTGCGAAGGGTGGAAAACTGCAGTTCAGCAGCAGCTTCGCTCCCCTCTTGTATCTTGTTTACATTCCCAAAACAGGTTCACTTACAACAGTTAGAGAGAGAGGCCCTTTCTTTCCTTCACCTTTAAACCCGGCTTTTCTTCTTCAGAAGAGAAAAATCAGGATGTTAAGAGTCACTAAGGTCCATTTTATTAGTAGCAGCAGTTTCAATTTTTATGTAAAAATAGCGCCAGCAGCTCTTACTAACGATGCGATGAAACTTTCGTTTTAGTAAGCAGTATTACATAAAAAGCAGAGTCATTTATTTGCACCAGCACTTTTTGCCTTAGTTTAGCAAATCGCACAAGTAACCTCGCTCTCTGTAGGGGCCCTACCGATGCAAGGAACGAGGCTCCACACGTACAGACTTGCAGGGTTAGCCTACGAAGGACCCCTCTTCACTGTACATACTCTTAAGGAGCGAGTCGTTTTCTTCCACTGTTATTTACCGGGATAAAACATTCGGGGCATTTTAACGCAGACGCTCTGTAGCACTTGTTTTATCTTATTTTGCTGTAGGTCCTGTAAAAAAATCACGCAGTTTGCAGGCTTGGGACAATACGGTTGTAAGTTACTGTTTTCAGTCGCAGACACCCCCCCCCCAAAGACAGACCGGTAACCCCACAGTAAGCTTCAGCTGCGTGAACACATGAGAAAAATCATACTTGGAAAACTCGGTTCAAAATTCAGTACTGGATGCCAGGAAGGCGAGTTTTAGCAGATGATCTGCAGACATTCATCCATCTCTGGGTGTCAGTCGTTCACACGAGTCTCTGTTTGCTTTTTAACACTGTTTTGGAGATGCATCGCATCATTTAAACAGTGTTCTGTAATCAGCTAAGCGTTAATTAGCAAAACACAAGAGAACGGAGCTTTGACTCTCAGGGTAAGAGAAGCTGCACTTTCAGTTGCATGATTTGTACTCTCCTAAAACCTGAGCAAGTATCCCCTTAGCAGGTGAAAAAAAAATAAATCAGGTGTCACTCTGTTTAACTGACATACTAGATGTGACTGGAGTTACCGACTGGACATGGAATCTACTGTCTTCTGTAGAATTGTGTGATGCTTATCCTTTTTCAGAAAGCCTAAAAAGGCTTGAAGTCTACTTTGAATCTGACTTCTCTACTATCCTCAGTTATATTTAACAGACAAACGATACATTTCTTACTGTAAAAACATCAAGTTGTCCTTAAAAATAATGAAGAAAGTGCTATCTTGGTTAGAAAACTCAGGCTTGTACATACGTTTCCAACAGTCAGAGAAGTCCTCACAAGCAACAAAAAGATGTCAAAAAATTATTAAAATCACTATTGTGTAATTATAACCAGCTCATAGGCTTTTCCACTCAATTTCCCGGATTTAAAAAGTTTGTAACATCTTAAAAAAAAAACCCCAAACCACCACCAAACAAACCCAATTGCCACTCGGGCAGATTCTCGCTTGGCAACAAGTTGCAGCAGTGTCTTTTCACTAAGAAAACTGAAATAGCGGCCAAGCCCAGCATCTGGGGCAGCGCTACAGTATTTCAGCAAGCCCAGGAACACTCAGTCCCGAAACACGCTAGTATAAACACGATACAAACCAAAGCCTGCTCCTGGATCATGACACAATCGCAATGAAGTTGGCTGGTGCTTGCCTTTAAAGTGTTATCAGTTGATCTTCTCTAGCCTCAAATCGTAGTAATATTAATTATGAAAAAAAATATATATTAAAAAAAATCAAGAAATGCTGACAACCAAGAGGAAGCAGTCTATGTGCAACATACTACAAAACAATATGAGGGATCTCCGCCTGTCCTGGTTTCGGCAGGGGTAGAGTTAATTTCCTTCCTAGTAGCTGGTACAGTGCTGTGTGTTGGATTTAGGATGGGAACAAAGTTGATAACACACCGATGTTTTAGTTGTTGCTAGGTAATGCTTACACTGGCCAAGGACTTTTTAGTTTCCCATGCTCTACCGACTGAGCAGGCTGGAGGTGCACAAGAAGCTGGGAGGGGGCACAGCCAAACTGGCCAAAGGGACATTCCATACCATGTGACATCATGCTTAGTACATAAACTGGGGAAAGCTGGCCGGGGGGGGCCGCTGCTCGGGGACTGGCTGGGCATCGGTCGGCGGGTGGTGAGCAATTGCACTGTGCATCACTTGCTTTGTGTATTATTATTATTTTATTTCAATTATTAAACTGTTTTTATCTCAACCCATGAGTTTTTCTCACTTGTGCTCTTCCAATTCTCTCCCCCATCCCACCGGGGGTGGGGGGGAGCGAGCGAGCGGCTGCGTGGTGCTCAGTTGCCGGCTGAGGTTAAACCACGACACCGCCCTATAATCACAACCATATTTTAATTCCCTTTTCTGTGACCGTATAGGCAAATGGTATCTTAAACTGCAATACTCAAATCTGCCCAACAGATTCTTGCGCCCTGCCCTGCGCCGCGTAACTTTCAGATCCCATCCTCCAGTCGGGAACGCCGGGCCTGGCAGAGCACCCGCAAGGTGAGACGGGGAGGGAGCCTGACGGGGTGCCAGGCAGGAGGCCAGCAGAGAGAGATGTGGAACAGCGCCGCCAGCTGAAAGGGCGCTCTGCACCTGCATCCCCAGGGGAAGCGAACAGGATGAGAAACCAGCAACAGGGATAAAGAAGGGTCTGAAGACTGGAAGAGGCCGTAAAGCTGAAAAGCAGTGCACACGTGGCTTTTTACGGCTATTTTTCTTTACGTCCAGTGTTCAGTTCCAAGCACAAGAGTGCACCCCCGAGCTTGGTACGAAATCAACGTTCATGTTTCCGTATCTCATCTGGGAAAATTCAGGAACCACCTATCAATTTGGCAGCCATCGTGTTTTCCCACGAAAAGAGATCAAAATTCAGGTGCCAGACAGGAACGGCAGAACGAACGCAAGGAACTCAGTCTCCGCCATGGACTCAGCAGCATCGGTGGCAAACAAACCATTTCTGCAAACGGGTCGTCGGTACTTTCATAGTGCCTAGCGCTTACTACACAGACATCGTCAGCTGCGGGGGGCCTTGATTTCAGTATCACCACGTATCGGGTACCAGAAGAACACTTAAAAACCATACCAGTCAGTAGCGGCTACCATTTATCAGAGAAATGCCCGTCTTGTTTTTCACTCCACGATGTTCTGTTTGTAAAACGTCCTCTTACAGAAATCTTCCATTACCAAGGTAACTACTACAGCATAGTGGAACTACCATCCGTAACACCAAGTATAGCAGATTGTCTTTGAAAACAACGCTCAGATCTGAAAGTGTAAAATGATTATAAATGCTAGAAAAATATGACAGATTCATGTTTCTGGAAAAAAAACAACTTGCTGCACTGAGAATCCCCCCCCATGAAAACACACAAGGCCACAGTAAGATAGTCAAAAATATCAGACTTGTCAACCTGGAAAAAGCATAATCTTAAACAGCGTGAACCATGGCCCTTATTTCTATTTCAGGTATAACCACCAGGAACAGCTATTTTCGGTATTTGGAAAGGCAAAAGTTACCTCCCCAATCGCTTTAATAAAAATTATTACAACCTATTAAAATCAAAGAGATTTAAGCTTTCACAAACAATTCAGGGATTTCATTTTTCCCGCCACATAATTTGGAAGATAAAAAACTTCAAGCATTACTTCCATCACCAGCATCCTCCCTCAGCTGCCTGTTGTTTCAGGGACTATGAACACGAGTAGCATCACGTAATGTCTCATTACTCCCAGCAGTATGAAGAGACTAAATCCAATATTTTGACTAAAATAATTTCCACAAGACGTGTGTAACAAAATATCCAGCTTTTTTTGGAAGCAAGTCTCTTCACAACAGACTTGCCTTTTACAGTCGGAATTTTTCTGTCTGTTTGGTAAGAGGCAAGTGTAAGGGAAGTCTAACATCTACAGTTGTGCAAGTACACCACCCCCCAGAGAGCGCCAGTAAATAATCAGACTGCATACGAGATGTTTGTAAAAGTAATAAAACCCTTTGATGCTCCATATTTATACCGGCAAATACCTCTCCTGATATAAAAGGCACTTTGAAAACCCAATATGGTTTGGTTCATTAAGTTTGCAAAGTACAAACAATTGTACAAACATACAATTATATCGAAGCATGTCAGCCACTGTGACATTATCTACAAAACAGGTTTCCAATTGTTGGTAACACTGGTTTTATGGGAATGGGTTTTATGGGAACGAGCAGTGGTTTCAGCAGCTTTACTGAAGACACGACAGGGTTTCCAGTACCACAATCTTAGTAAGGAAAACACCCTCAAAAACTTAGAAGTTTAGGGGCCACAAAAAGACAAGACCCAAAGTCCATAACATTCATTCAATATTTACTCCTTAGAAGTGAACTCCGTCCATAGCCCAAGGGCAGAAATCTATTCAGTCAATTCCAGAACAGTGGTGGAGGCAGGCTCTGTCTTGAGAAGTACGTTGTTACACCGTTACAGTACGGAAAACTTTGGTCCAACAGCACAATTTCAGAAATTCACTACATGGCTGCGACATCGATCTGTATGTAAAGCTGTCTTACTCCTGCCTATGGAAAAGAGGAGGAGAGTTAAAAAAACCCTGTAAGTCAAAGCAATTTAACTGTCCTGGACACCAGCCCACATCAGTAAGTTACCTAGCAGAAAAACTCCGTATCTTATTTTTCTGTAATTCATCTTCCACATTTAGCGCATCATTCACTGAGATACTGGCAATTTGGAAACCTACAAACTTTGAGAGCGCTCTATGAATACATAGTTCTTCAGTCAAGTGCACACATGTAATTATATATTAACATTGGCTTTGCTACATCACCTTTTCTGATTCATCCTAAACAACTGTCACACGTGAAGCTGCACAAAAGCAATTCTTACCTTCTTTTGTACAAGTTTAACTTCCTGAGAAGTAAGCTGCTTGAGGAGCTGTCAGTGTAAAATGGAGCTAAGCACAAGAGCGTAACGTGGGATTTGTTGTTTGAACCAGTTCTACGCTAAGATTTTAGCAAGAACCAACAATGGCTACAGGGAGTTTACATGACATCATGACACACTAAAATAAGTTCTGGTAAAAGTATGCGAATTGTACGAAAGCGTTTTTCTCCTCAGAAATCCTATTAAACTAGGCTTAGATGGACTTGCTTAGTTTTATCCTTATTCAGTATTAAACAGCATTAAAAAGATCAATTAGTCATTCTTTTTAACCTCAGTGGCAGGCCAGCAACAATGTTGTGATGGTCGCTGGTTATGCAACGTGATCTTGAAGCATTAGGCTGAACGCTGCTGAAGATCAGATTGTCTTCAACGATCACCAACTCGCTTTTAGCTCGTTCGAGTGGCAAAACCAACTATCAATTATATTAAGATTAATGAGGACCAATATTACTGAGGAGAAAAATCTCTACGTGCTCCAACTGTTCCTCCACTATTACCACAGGTCAGGGAAGAAAAAATGATAGACCTTGCTCTCCCAGTTCCCTTCCTAGACACATGGCTCTTGATACCTGCACAGCTACAAAACAGCTGAAGAGCTAACGACTCACTTGGAAAATGCAATCCTTTGGAGCCTTGAGATGTAGACCGTTCTGCATAGCCCTTCCCCAAAAAATATCCCTTAGTTTCAAACTACACAGTCTGCAGAACAAGCCATGCAGGCTGATTTCTACCTCCTCAATAATCTAGAGCTGTATGTGATGGAACATCTCAAGAAGGACTAAACTTTATTCATAAAGCTTGATTTTAGAATACTTGTGACAACAAATCCTCCTTCCCTAAGTCTCTAACATAAAAACAAGTACGTGTGTCTATTTTTATTGGGTTCCCCCTGACTGACTACTTTAAAATTCCTTAAAATTTAGGGAGTTCAAAAGAATTCATGCACTCGGGCAGCACATTGTAGGGCTGGCTTCAGTGGTGTTTCTCCTGAGACTCCAGAAACTGAGCATGCAAGATGCATAAAAAAAATAAACAAAAAATCCAGTCTGGAATTTTTAATAAATGTTATAAAAGAGTTAATAAAAGGGGCACTTATCAGATGCATAAACGATTCACTAAGCCATCACATACGCAAGTGCCAATGCAGGAGACCAATAGAACATTTAGAACAAGGGGAAGAACGTGCACGTGAGCACGCAAGGACTTTCCCCACTGTGGAAAGCTTTGAAAAGACCATTTATGCAAGCACTAATTAAACTGCTGACAGAAGCACTTTATTTACAGTATCAGATACACCTGATCAGAAGCCCCCTTTCTTCACTGCCCAACTGACTTAGAGAAGTCAGTAATTTACATACCTCCAAAATATTACCCTTTTGCTGACAGTATTTTGTTACCTAAAACACTGGTTATAAACAGGAATATTTGTCTCCTTATCAGCTACAGAACTCTCCGTTACTCAAAAGCAGAGAAAGGACATTATGGAAAAATGTAATAGTTTTTTCAAATACAGTCCTCCAACGTCAAGAATAAAACCAGGATGTTTGGCTCTGGACGGTGTAAGAGAGAGAATAAGTTTCCAGCTTTATTCTTCACTAAGTTCTCTTGCTGGAGAAGAATTTTCTATTTTATTTCAATAGACTCAAGGTTCTACTTGTAAACCATTCATATCCAGTAGCTATACTGGAATAGGCAGCCAAACTGAATTTCATGTTTAATGGTTGAAAGTATAAGGAAGCAACAGTAAAATCTTTCTGAAATTTGTAAGATTTTAATCTTAAGGCAAGAACTATCAAATTTAATAACGTTTCTGTTGTTCACAAGAATTCCAGCATTTCGTATCTGCTACAAGTGCTATCACCATCTATATTTAAAAAAAAACCCCATAAC